ATCACAGATCGCTATTGATTCCCGCTAGGCTGGGGAGAGCAGGCTGTGTGTCCTCCTCCAGGCCGGATCCTGTAACCGACCGATGGGCCTTTCCCGGGCTCCCCCATTTTTATGGGGTTGCGGCACGCAGTGAAAGACAGCTCCCCAGATCCCAGGAGTGCCCGGATCTGTCCAGGCAAGTTTGTCTGAGAGTGCAGGTGGCACCAAGACATTGCCTCCGGGTTTAAGGAAGGTGGTCCCCTAGTTTCAGGCACTTAGATGTTCCCCTCCCTCTGGATTCCCCCAACCCAGGAATCCAGGCTTGCCTTTAGAATGACTCATCTAAGGACAGAGGCTTGGAAGGGATGTGGGTAGGCTTATCAACGGGAAACTTGGGCCTGAGCTAACCGGATCCCTTAGGGGTCCCAGGGACCCCAGAGAAGGAAAGGGAACAGTTTCTGGAGGAAGGAAAGAAGGCACGCAGGGAGCTCTGTTTGTGAAGGAATGATGTTCTTGTTATTATTGAGGTTAATGATAGTAATGATTGGGTATGGCTGGGTCAGCCTGAGAGAAGAGCTCTCCACAGCCCTTTCTCACAGAGGCTTCTTTGGAGAAGTCACTGGCTGTCCAACCTAGCTGTAATTGGGGAGAATAAAATGAAGACCTTTCCTCCCTTTCCCTGCGCTTTCCTCCCCCACTCCTTAAGAACTCCAGAAAAAAAGGGAACACCTTATAAAATCTTCATCACCCACCCCAATCATTTCCCCTCTGCTCTCTCCAGTAAAACACATCATTTTGGGGCACTGGGCTTTTGCCAGGCACCCTTCTTATGAAGTTCAGCAAGCAGTTACCTGGCTAAGTCCCCATGAATGAATTCTGACTCTGGAGGACACCCAGGATTCTCTTGCTTGCTCCATGGAATTCTCCCTCTATCCTTGGCTCTCTGTCTCTGCCTTCCTTGGTCCAGGGTGCCTCAACCCATGAGTCCCTGGCAGCTCTGAGGCCAAGAACAGATTAGAGTATCTTGAGATGCCCTCATCAACCCCAAAAGGAATCCCACCTACCTATCGGCTTCTTCATTCTGGGAGCACCAGGTCAGCTCTCTGGAAGCTACCCTAAACCAGCCTAATTCCTAAATCTTTCAAAACCACATTTAGAGTGCTTTAGAAGTCCTTTCACCACCCCCCTCCCCAAGAGGAAAGTTCAAGTTAGAAATACTCAGCAGCGCAAGCTTCCTGCAGCACTGTCAGAATTTTTCAATAACAACAAAAATAAGAATTAAAGCTTTCATCAAAGGGAAAAAGGGACACCCCCACCCCAGTTTTAAAGAGGATATAATCCTGAGTGGGGAGCAGGGTCAGTGAGGCCAGGATAAGCAAAGAAGAGGATGGGGAACCCAACCTCTAACTAACAGTTTCTCCAGCATAAAAATGAAACATCAAATTCGTTAGCCCAGGGCCTTCATTTTTCCCCTTCCACATTATAACTAGTTATTGAACTCACTGGAAGATCTAAAGGCCATTTGCGAAGAGACAAATTTCAATGGAGTTTCCCCATCAATAACCCCATGGCAGTGACCTATTGGAACAAGTCAAACACCCGAGGTGAAATGCAGGTCACTCTGTCTAACCAATATTAAAATGCGGCCACTTTTTAAAAAGCCACTTTAAATGAGATTTGAGGAAAATTGAATTCCAAGGAAGGCAAAGCAAGGAGGGGGAAATTCACAAGAGGACCTTGCCTATGGTCTCCGAACAAACAAGAGAAATTCATCTTTAATATTTTAAAGGGGGGCAAATTAACATTCCATGATTGCTTTTTTTTTTTTTTTGAGACTATAAGCGATTCCAGGAGAAAAAAAAGGTTGAGTATTTTCTGGTGACACGTCTGGGTTATTAAAATCATTTTAGACCAATTCATTACTTTTACTGACAAGAGATTTAAGAAAAAATCAATTAAGCATTTGCATATTCTTTTGCATACATTAGCCCTGCCTGCTGGCATTAGAAGAGGACAAAACACACACATATATACATATACACACACAGCAGGGGAAAATGGGAGCCTTGCTTTAGTTTGGGGTTTGCAAGTTGCTTGGAGAAAAAAAAATAAAAATGAAATGAATTACTTGATTGTATACCATCAAAAAGTCAATTTATTTGAGGAAGAGGAAAGAGATGTGTTGCAATGTTTAATCTCTAAAACAACAACAAAAACCATATACACACGCGCGCGCGCGCACACAGTCACATCCTGCCCTTCTGAGAGTGGGGAAAGGAATGACCCTCATTTTCCCCTCTCTTTGCCCTCCAAATCCTGAGTTGGCTCTCACTATTTTTCTCCCTAGGAAAATCCAGGGAGTCTGAGAGGTGAGATTTTAATGCAGCAGAGAATCAGTGGAGTCGCTGAGGTCTCTCAGCCGGCAGCTTGTTACTGGGGAGGGGAGGAATATGGGTTATCCAACGGTCAGTATGGTAATCCGGGCACAATAAGGCCTCGCACACAATGGACACATATTTTTCTTCAGCGGTGTCAGAAGGGAAGCGCTTTGTACTAAAACACGTTTCCGAAAGAGAAACCAGATCGAGATTTAGAAAGAATATGAGGGGGAGGAGGGATGCGGGTAGCATTCGGAGAGTGATTGTTTGGAGGCTGGCAAAAGGTGATCAGAAAAAATAAAAAAATAAAATTGGGGCTGAGAGAGGTAGAGGGCAGAGCAGGGGTTGGAGATCCCTGGGCTGATGAGGCAGGAGGATGAAACACAAAAGGAGATACAAGGATTCATCACGGACAAGAGCTGCTTTAGTGCCCCCCCAACCCATTAAGCTAATGCTAAGTACATGAGCCCTCAGAAGGGATCTTATTTCTGTGCTCGCAATAATATCCAGGTGAAAATGTTTGTATGTGTGTGTCTGTGTAGCGGACTCTGGCTTGCTGTTTTCTTCATGTGATAGGCGACTTTCTTGCTACTGAGATATAGGAGCCCAAAGAGAGTTTTTTTGGTAAATGATGTAGATGCATGTGGACAAATTTGGGGAAATCTCCCAGATTTCACTTTCTGGACCCAAATGTCAAGTTAGCTGTGCAAACCTGGAAAGAAAACTCCATGTATTTATGGCTGCATAAGGAGGCATTTAACACAGCAATAAATATTAATAGTATGAATGCACATAGACTTGACATTCAGTTGAAGGCATCTGAACTCTCTTGGATCTACCTACACTCACTGGCCCAAAGTGGGTTTCGTGCTTCCCTTCCCTCGACCCACCTGCAGGAGCTCAGAATCCTGGGGAGTGGGAGTGTAAGATGGGCCGTGCCTTGGAAAGGACTTCCTAGCAAGCCCAAGAGGGTGAAAAGAAGGAAGAAAAGCAAGTTGAGGTGGGAGCATGGCTGGTAGAAGGTGATAGTGAGGGCTGGGAGGAGGGGAGCCAGGTGGAGGTGAGACTATTCCTGGCCAGCATAGGGTGGGGCAGCCTGATCCAGGTGCAGGCCTAGAAGGGAGGATGGGGGTGGGGCTGGAAGGCTTTCTCCTTCAGCAACCTTTCCCCCGCCCTACCTGAGCTCTTAGGAGCTCTGCCCCTTCCCAGGTGGCGGGGCTGGGGCTGGGTTCAGAATTTTTAAGTAGGACAGCAGTCAGCATTGGTTTCCCTTTGGCGCTGCTAACAACTTGTAATTAACCCACCCCCCAGCACCAATAATAAACCCCGAATCACTACCAACTAAGCAGCAGCCTTCACCTTCTCACAGTCTCAAGCTCCTCTTCCAACCAAACCAGCCAATCTTCACATGCAGAGGGTCCCGGATAAGAGTGGGCAGGAGTTCTCAACCAACTTTGGAAATTTGAGGATCGCCTCTAAGAGATGGTCAGCTTCCAGGGAATTCTGGTTCTCTCTCCCATCTAGTGGCAGCGAGTGGGCACTGACCTCTGGGCAAGTGGTTTCCAGGGACTCCCAAGTACTGGCTCTTGGTGAGCGTAGGGTAGGGGGGCTTGAACGTGGCAGGAAGAAAGGTGGCCAGGGGCCCAGGCAGGGGGAATCAGTCCTTTGGGGCATCGGTTGTGGCCCAGCTCTCCAGCCTCAGTGTGAGCCCTAATTTGGAAGTGAGAACCCTCTCTGGTATCCCAAAGGTGGTGAGAGACAGGTTGGGAAACTCCCGCCTTCAGCCTCCCTCTCACAACGGTTTTATTTTTTTTCCCTTTCCCCTCCTCATTCCCTTAATTGCAGATGTTCTAATTAAACCCTCAAATAGTTGTTATGCCGTTTTAAAAGGTACTTATTCAAGTGTCAACCAGGCTGGGCTGGGAGGAGGCAGCGTAGGGCGGCGAATTAAAGGTAGATTGACTAATCACAGCGGCGATCATAATAATAAAATCAGAGGGGAAAAAAATCACATTACGACTTTTCGTGGAAAGGAGGGAGCAGGCAGCCAGCGGCCGCCAGCCCTGCGCCGCCGCCGACACAAAGAGTGCGGGCGATTCCGCGAGACTGATTTATGACGTTTTACAGCCCTATAAAAGCTGTAGCGACGAGGCAAGCGCTCCTACCACCGCTGGCAGATTTAGTCTAATAAATAAAACATAAACAGTTAACTTTATGTGTCACTTTTATTGTTATCAAGTAAAATATAGCCGAGCCCCGGCAAGCTATGATTTTAAACTATAATTGTTATCAAGTGCAACAAGGGGACCCAGCTCCCTCCCTGGGCTCTCCCTCCTGCCACCCCCCCTAACTCTGAGTTATGGGATCAGTTAATTAGAATTGGTGGCATGACGTGGCCACCCCTAGCTGAGGGGGGGCGGTGTCAGAAAGCAGGTCTTCTTGCCCCCTCCCTCCTCCATGGCCCTGCCACCCCACCATCAAGACTATTCCTGTGGGTGGGAGGCAAGAGAGAGGGGAGGGCGCAGGAATGGGCTGGAGACCCCCAAGTCCCGCCCAGCCTCCCCGGCTTCATGAGCTCACCCCTCAGCTTTTGGAAGGCAGCCTGGAGCTGACCCTTGGGGATGCGTGTTTACATGTAAACACATGTGTTACATGGATACAGTCCCTGGCCGGAAGCAGGCTCTACTCACGCAGGCCTTCCTCCTAGCTAGGTCTGCCCTCTGTGGGGATGGAGAAAGGAGCTCCCAGGGCCTTGGCTGGGCACCATCCCAGGGGACTGGCCCCTAGCAGAGTGCTCTCCCCACTGCCCCAAGTCCTCGGGAACCGGCCTTGGAAGTAGTTGTCAGAAAGCCACAGGCCAGGCAGAATGGAGAGCAGAGACAACTGCCAGCGGAAGAGATCCTCTGCTCCGGGCTGGGCAGGGAGGGTCAGTGGGCACTTGGGGAGGGCAAGGCTTCTGAACTATGCTTTTGCCAACCACTTCCTGTCTCTCTTCAGCGGGGGCCTCAACCCCCAGACCTCCAGAAATGACGTCAGAATCATTTGCATCCCGCTGCTTCTACCTGCCCGGTCCAGCTGGGACCCTGCCTCGCCGGCCCCCTGGCCAGAGGGTTGGGTGAGTGTGTATGGAGAAGAGGGCTGGACTCTGGTCTCCTTGGATGTGGGGGTACCACAGGCTCACCAGCCTCCTGGGCTCAGCATGGGCCCCTCCCCATCCAACCTCCACTCCAGTCCTCATTCAACTTCCTCTTCCTGCGAAAGAGGGGCGCTGCCCCGTGACCTACACAGACTGAGACAGGATCGCCATGAATGGGGACCTCTGGAAAAGCTCGGGAGCCGAGGCCCGAGGGGTACACCGGAGAACCAAGGGGAGACTCTGGGAGGGGGCTGAATTACAGCCTCCCAACAGCCTCCCAATGCCCAGGCTTTGGAAAGGAGCTGGGGGCTTCCCATCTCCTTTTGCAGTGGAGGTTGTCAGTCGGAGGGGTGTGTGCTGGGGGCACCCCAGCCCCTGCCAGCGAACCCCACATCACCACCACCACCCCCCAGCAGCACCACCACCACCACACACAAAAAAAATTGGATACATTTTGAATAAAGCGATTCGGTTCCTTATCCGGGGACTGGGTTGCTCCGTGTGATTGGCCGGCGGAGTCACATGGTGAAAGTAACTTTACAGGGTCGCTAGCTAGTAGGAGGGCTTTATGGAGCAGAAAAACGACAAAGCGAGAAAAATTATTTTCCACTCCAGAAATTAATGATCATGAGCTCGTATTTGATGGACTCTAACTACATCGATCCGAAATTTCCTCCATGCGAAGAATATTCGCAAAATAGCTACATCCCTGAACACAGTCCGGAATATTACGGCCGGACCAGGGAATCGGGATTCCAGCATCACCATCAGGAGCTGTACCCACCACCGCCTCCGCGCCCTAGCTACCCTGAGCGCCAGTATAGCTGCACCAGTCTCCAGGGGCCGGGCAATTCGCGAGGCCACGGGCCGGCCCAGGCGGGCCACCACCACCCCGAGAAATCACAGCCGCTCTGCGAGCCGGCGCCTCTCTCGGGCGCCTCCGCCTCCCCGTCCCCAGCCCCGCCAGCCTGCAGCCAGCCAGCCCCTGACCATCCCTCCAGCGCCGCCAGCAAGCAACCCATAGTCTACCCATGGATGAAAAAAATCCACGTTAGCACGGGTAGGCAACTTTGCTTTTTGCTCTCCCCCTCCCCTCTTCCCCAGCGCTCCCCACCCTCCTCGGCCCCCGCCGGCCCCGTCCTCCTTTCTCTCCTTCCCCCTCTCTCTCCAGGAGCGACTCTGGGTTAGCACAATTGAACTGGATTTACGAGCGAGAATGGGTAATTACATCCCCCATAAATTTTATGGCTTAGCTACTCTGGGCAGTCCGAGCCATGTGCTACGATCTGTTATGTATGTGTGAAAACTATGCTCGCTTTCTAAGGGCGCATAAATAATTCAGTGTCGTTACAATGAGGATTCCCCTCTTATTACACTACAAAGTCTCCAGCTCCCTTCAACTTCTTTATAACCCATTTAGCTTGATGACTTTATTTCCATCACCCCCTCCTCCTGTTCCAACAGAGCTGAGGATGGGGTGAGGGTGGGGGGCGGGGAGCCTGCTGCCTTTGAACCCCACTATTTGCTTTCCCCCCCTCCCCTCAGTGAACCCCAATTATAACGGAGGGGAACCCAAGCGCTCGAGGACAGCCTACACCCGGCAGCAAGTCCTGGAATTAGAGAAAGAGTTTCATTACAATCGCTACCTGACCCGAAGGAGAAGGATCGAGATCGCCCACTCGCTGTGCCTCTCTGAGAGGCAGATCAAAATCTGGTTCCAAAACCGTCGCATGAAATGGAAGAAGGACCACCGACTCCCCAACACCAAAGTCAGGTCAGCGCCCCCGGCCGGCGCTGCGCCCAGCACCCTCTCCGCAGCCACCCCGGGCACTTCTGAAGACCACTCCCAGAGCGCCACGCCGCCGGAGCAGCAACGGGCAGAGGACATTACCAGGTTATAAAACATAACTCACACCCTGCCCCCATCCCAGGCCCCCCATCCTCCCCTCACACACAAATTGACTCTTATTTATAGAATTTAATATATATATATATTTTGGTTCTTTTCTCTCTTCCTCCCACCTTCCCCCTTGTCAATTCCAAACAGACAAAACAGATAAACAAACAAGCCCCCTGCCCTTCTCTCCTTTCCACTGTTAAGGACCCTTTTAAGCATGTGATGTTGTCTTAGCATGGTACCTGCTGGGTTTTTTTTTTTTTTTAAGGCCATTTTGGGGGGTTATTTATTTTTTAAGGAAAAAAACTGCAAAAATTATATATTACAAGGTGTGATGGTCTGGTTTGGGTGCATTTCAGGGGAAATGAGGAAAAGAAAAAAGGAAAGAGATTTTTAAGCCAGTACTCCTCCTTCTCCTCCTCCTCCTTCCCCCCTCTTTCCTTAGGCCTTTTGCATTGAAAATGCACCAGGGGAGGTTAGTGAGGGGGAAGTCATTTTAAGGAGAACAAAGCTATGAAGTTCTTTTGTATTATTGTTGGGGGGAGCTGGGAGGAGAAGGGGGAAGACAGCAGACAAAGCTAAATGCATCTGGAGAGCCTCTCAGAGCTGTTCAGTTTGAGGAGCCAAAAGAAAATAAAAATGAACTTTCAGTTCAGAGAGGCAGTCTATAGGTAGAACACCCCACCCCACCCCCCATCGTGGTTATTGTGTTTTTGGACTGAATTTACTTGATTATTGTAAAACTTGCAATAAAGAATTTTAGTGTCGATGTGAAATGCCCCGTGATCAATAATAAACCAGTGGATGTGAATTAGTTTTACGTCAATGTCTGATGGTTTCTTTTTCTCCCCCTCCTCCTTCTGGCCTGGTAACATCCCACCTTCTCTCTAGAGTTGCTGAAGTTTACTCTAAGCAAATACACAAAGCTTAACTCTCAACTTCAGTTTCCCAAGGTCCTTAGAAGATCCAGCAAAAGGTTTGGGGCAGAGGATATCAGGAGAGGGGATGTGGAAGAGCAGGGCACTTCCTCCCTGAGTCTGTAGGGGCCAGACTCTCCTGGGGGGGGGGGGTGTCTCACTTTTCTAGAGTTAAGCACAGTGCCTTCTTTTGTCTCTTCCTGTCTCCTCTCTTCTCCCTTCCCTTTGGTGAGTAGGCCTGCCTAACTTGCAGATTAGAAGGCAAGTTTAGGGAGTTGGTACGAAGAAGAGTTTTCATGTTTGGGGAGTTCTCTGGGGCTGAGGGATTAGGAAGATGCCTCTCAACATGCCTGTTCTCCTTAAAAGAAGAAACGTTTTGAGCTGGTGATTCTAAAACAGCAAAGTGACCTGTCAGGATGGCTTTCTGTTTGTTTAGACTTGGAAAGAAGGGTGAAGTGGAGGCCAGAGGCCTGGGAGGCCCCCTTGCATGGGTAGGCCTCAAAACCTGATGCCTGGAGATAATGAAGCACTCTTATTCCCCACTCCCCCCCCCCAACTTTTATCATGGACCTGCTAGATGTTGAGAAAAGACACAGGGAGAGGCAGGGGGATCACCTTTCTTCCTATAACCTCCCAGGTCTCCATAGGGCTTGGACGTTGGAGGAACAAGACTTCCCGCTTGTAAAAAAAGATTTTTTTTTTAATTGCTTCCTTGGGGGCTAAAACAAACAAAAAACTGATTTGGATTGCCTAAATGATTACTTTAAGTCAAAGTCTCCAAAGAATCCTAGTCCTGGAGACCAGGCTCTGAGCAAGGCCTGCTCGAATTTTTGGAATTTTTGCGTTTGTTGGAAGAAGGTGAAGGGGTAGTTGGTGAGCTTCTCTGACAGTTTATCCAGATATCAGGATGGAGGGCTGTCAGAAGGAGAAGAGAGAGGGAGAAGAGATCTGGGATAAGTAGGGAAGTCATGGATACTACTCTCCTCTCTCCTCGAATTCAGGAGTGAAAGGCAACAGAGGAACCAAGTTATGAAAATCTGTTTGATGTGCTTTGGATTTATTTCCTCTGGAACCACTTGCTGGCTGTGTGTGTGTGTGTGTGTATGCTGGGGTCCTGTAGGTCTACTTTCCCCTCCCTCAATGGTGCCCTGGGGACAGCAAAACATGCTGCCTACAGTGTGAGGAAGCAGGGCCAACCATTATCTGGAGTGATTTTATGTAATCAAGTGAATTAGGGGCCAAATCTGACTGTAGCTCCCATCATCTTGATGCAATTGGCTTTGGGGCAGGAAAACGGGGTCTAGTTGCACTTGGGAAAAGGGAAGGTGTGAGGGGGGGACCTGGAAGTCTTTCCAGTCCCTTAAGGAAGTTAAGATGGAAAGAGGGGGCAATGGAAATCAAGATTCATAATCTTTTCTTAACTTTGCTCAGTTGGTTTCAGGGGAATGTATTCTTTCTCCTCCCTAAAGTGGAAGAGATGAACACGGGGGAGGGAAATTCACTATCTTCTATATGTTAAGATGAACTTGCTGAAGGTACACGCTCTTGTTCGAGAAAAGCAGTATAAAAGGATTGGGACGTTTCTTTTATTTTTCCTTCTTTAGGAGCTTCTGTATTAAATTCCTCTTCCTTTTAAACTCCTCTTCTCACACATACACATGTAGTCACTCTCTGTGTATCTCTCTCTGTCCCTCTTGGTCTGAAAAGCAGAAACATCAGACATCCATAGTTTGACAAAACTAAACCCTCTTGAACTTGAGTTTTGGAAAATTTTGGCCTCTGGCCTTCCCTCCAGTGGGTTCCATTCTTTGCTCTTTCCCCAAAACTCTCCTTTGCCTTGGACCTGACCACCTGGAATAGGATCAGGCTCTCGGAGATGAGAGGGATGTCCAGTGTAGGGGGCCAACCTGGGCCCCTAGCTCTAGCCGTCTTGACCCACTGGATGCTGCTTCAGCCTCACTGGGAAGCTGAGGGTCGGGGCTTTTATTGAAGTTGGATTGAACAGTGGGGAAAGACTGGGGGAGGGTGGGGAAGACGCAGCCCAGGTTCACGGGGAGGACACAGCATTTTCTCTCCCATCGCCTTTATATTCGGCAGCGCCTCTGACCTCTCCCCCACCCCCAGCTCCGACCCTCCCAAGCCAGCCCTAGCTCAGCCCCCGGTCTCCAGACAGGATGCCACAGCTTCTGTGGGGCTGATTTCTTGCCCCGAGTAATGGGAGAGGCAAGGCGCGTGAATGCCTGCCAGCGTATTGTGTGTGTCTCTCCAATGGCTAAGTAAAAAGAAGACGGGGTGAAAGCGGCAACACCAATCTTCCAAGGTCCTTCTCTCCAAGCACCAGGAGATCCCCACAGGTCAAAAATCCCCTTGACATGTAAGTAGTTAGCACTCATATGCTCTGGGGGCGAGGAGCACAGCAGTTTCAACTCTATCTCTGTTTGCCATTCAATTTTTATTTCAACTCCCGGTCTTGGGGAGGGAAGGCGGGAAATCCAATCAGGAGCGGTGAACTTCTGCTTGGGGAAAAATGGAGTATCTGAGCTGAGGAGAGTACCTGGGGAAAGAAGAAACTTGTCTCCTAGAGAAAAGAAAGAGTGGGAAAAGTGAGCCTGGGGGCAAGGGCGGGGGTGGGGGAAGGACTGAGGAACTCTGCTGGTCTGTGGGCCTCTCACTGCCGCTTGTGTGAAGTTTCCTACAAAGTTTTCTCTGCAATCTGTGCATCAGCTTTTTTTGAGCATAGACTTGGCGGATTGCAATCCAGGGACGCCTTCCCGCTGTTAGATGTATGTATCTATGTGTATTTGGGGGACCGCAAAGGAAGACAAACAGTTAAGGGTTTCTCCGGAGCTTGGGGCCAGGGTACCCTCTGCTTTTCTAAGATTAGAGAGACTGACTCTGAAGGGGGTGCTATGGTGGGGAGGAGAAGCCTGCTGGGGCAATTTTACCATCTTTTTCTCAGTTTTCTGCCCAGTCCTGGGGAAGTGTGGTTCACAAAGCCACTTCTCCTGGTTTTCTACAGCTTCTATCTGCATCCCATCTTTGGAGAGCTAATTTTTATGAAAATGTTCCCCTTTCAAGAAATCCTTCTTAGACTTGGAAAAAGAGATGGAGGAACCCCCAACTCCAGTGGCCATCAGCGCAGCGGGAATATTTATTACCTCTCTGGATATCATTACCTAAGAATACAATTTTATGAACTTCCTAATCTGTTAGCTTGATTTATCTGGGTGGATAGGGGCCCAAAATAAACATTTAGGGGATTTAGTAGGGAAAAAAAAAGTCTTTGCCTGTGACCAGTCTTTCTGATGGAACTGACCACCCCCCTTGGCCTGCTTTTTCTGCATCCCATCTCACTAGCCCCAATTTAATTTTTCTGCTGCAGCATGTGGCAGCTTTGAGTATCCAAGTTTTAGTTGCTTCTTGAGAATTAAAAAGGGTAATGTGCACTGTTTGAACCAGACACCTGGAGGGCTCTCTCAGCCGCCTTAAAATCTGTGCGGCTCCCGGAACTCGGATCCCCTTTGGACTTGGGAAGCAGAAAGAAACCGAGGTCTGCTCACTGCCTCCCAGGTCCAGGAGCCTCTTCTCTGGCTTGGCTCTTCTCTATGCCTCAGGATTTTCCTGCTCTTCTCTCTGGTGTCAGCTCTGTAGTTTCTTTGAATGGCAGGGTCCTTCCAGAAGCCAAGCCCACAACCACAACTATGCCTGCAGGCCCAGCTAACTGATGAATTAGGAGGCAGGGAAGACAAGGATGGGTAGGGAGAGTCTCAGAGTATGTTTGAGGAAGAGTAGGGCTACATAGTCTAATAAACCTAAAGGGACTGTTTTAACTTCCCAGTCCCCATCAGCAATTGCCAGATTCCCTAAGATGTAGGGTCCTGTAGGATCCACTCTGCAACCATGACGGGAATGGGTCCAGTCCAAAGAAGTGTCCCCTCTACTCACTCCTTTCTGACCCTATCTTTGCAGCGTCAGAGTTTGGGAGAGGGAAGTATATTTGAACTTGGGGCGGAGAAACCCTAAATCACAGCATAGGGAGGCTCTGCCAAACAGCTCAGTCCTAGGTTCCTGCTCCCAGGGGTGCCTC